TGTTGTCTATGTTCAGCTACGTAGACTCATTTTGCCCCCCCAAAATAAGTCGATGCCCCCCTTGTTAAACTCGTCTGGAGACGGGGCTGGTGTGTAGTTCTCTAGATAAGAGGCTGAACAAGCAGCCGTGTATTTTGCCACCTGGGCGGTGCGGAGCGGTGAAGAGACGCTGAGGGAACCGTATCTGATGGGGAAACAGTAACACCAGTATTGTGAGTAGTTTCTTCTTCTGTGGATTGTAGGAAGCAGCTATGTTTTGCGTCATACTATGCATGAGCTGGGGATTCTCTGGAAGAAAAGATCCGTTTTCTCGGTTTACACGACAACGGAAAACGGTACGTTTCAGAAACATCGCACTCTGGAACCCGTTTTCAATCTGTGCCGTTGTCAGAGAAAACATTCGTTGGTTTCGTGTAAATGCGCACTACAAACGCAACAAAACTCTTCCGTTTTCAACCGAAATCGTTGTCGTGTAAACGGGGCCTGAGTTAACACAGAGTGAGAAAAAGGAAGAAAACAAACAAGTGGTTTATAGTTGTTCTTCAACGGTTTTTCTGCATTATGAGTCATTTGATAAAATATCACTTGCTGGCACTCATAGACTGTGCATGAAACAATAAAAAAAGAATATAGAGAAGATAATACATTATTCAGGTATGGAGGGAAAAAATACCCTTCATTTCATATACAACCATCATGCAAAATGGAAGTGCATCTCAATTGACACACAAAAGCTTAGATTTTTTCTCAAAATGCCATTCATTTAAACCCCAGTAGCAATAGCTGGCTAAGCTTATCTGAGCTGGAATATGGCTACTTCCTGTTTCAGATTGTGCTCGATTTACAGACTCAGCTGAATAGGCTGAGGTGGGGTATCACATTCAAATCACTGCGCTACATGATGTTGTTTTAACAGAGAACATGCAACACAAAAAATACGAAAGCTATCATAGGCTAAAAAATGACATCATTTTACTTATTCTTAGATCACATCCACCCATTGGTCATGAATAGTCGACACTGATCTAATTGGTGATAATGAGCTGAATAATACTGCATATCATAAAGAAAGAAAAAAAAAAAATGACCCGTCATTTTTTGCCAAAATTGATTTTGGCAAAATAAAAAGACCTTCATCATTTATCATTTTCACTGTCTTTCCTTTAAGGGTTCAGAGACTACCTGCCCTCGTTGTTTTACTGCTTTGTCTGTTCCTGTTCTGTAAATGCTAACAGAAGTTAGAAACTGAGAGGACAGTACAGCTTCGTTCAAATCTGTCACCGGGGAAACAATTCGTCTCATTACCACAAAATTTGGAAATCAAGACAAGAGACTTCATATCGCTCTTCCACTTTTGCAATTGTACTTTCTAATTCTCTGACATTTCTTTTTTTTTCTTCTTCTTCCAGCCATTTCCTATTTTCTTCCACTGTGGGAGTTTTGCAGGTGACTATTACCAAAGCGAATGCTGTTTGGTCTTTGTACCCAAATGAACAAAATGGAAATGTCAACTAAAATTATAGGACAGGCAAATGTGCTTTTAAAGTGGTGGGATACTTAGCTAAAAGCAGCTGAAAGTGAATCAGAAGCCCTCCTAACATGAACTAAATAAGCATTATTAACTTAATAACATCCAAATGTTCTGCCTCTGCCAGAAATATTGAATCACTGTCATCCTCACAGTCTTACGTTTAGTAAACTGTTAGATTTCATGGGCATTTAAACTTTTCTTCTAAATAATATATTTGGAAAGTTGGGTAGATTTTTATTGTCCGCCTAGAGCTTAGCGACAAACATGCTAATTAAGGAAAATCGTAGAGAACAATGTGGTCATGGAAGAATAGACAGCACTTTGATAAATGTGATCAATTCCCATTGATATTAACACAGCATATAAAAATACATCACATTATCATGCTTACCTGGTACCATACACCTCTAAAATACAGTATACGACGGAAATTTTACAAGTATCATTTATAACATGCAACCTTTATGAAATTCCAGCAGGGGACCTTGAAGGTTTCCCAAAATTTCACATAAATCCACAATTTCAACATTTTTACTATAAACAAACAAACTTTGGCCCAGATTGTCTCACACTTTTAAAACTGCAGCAGATTCCTCAAATACTCCAGGCTTTGAATTTCACGCACCAGTACATCAAGACTGACTGCTCACTGTCTGACTGATTGATTGATGCAGGCTTAAGCATCATTAGCGGCTAATGGTTAGCCAGTCGTCAGAGTCTGACGCTTCTTTTAAGCAGTCTGCTGTCTGTCAGCTTCATTTCTAACTGAATTCCTTGAAGTGTCGCCACACATTATTTAGAACTTGTGCCTTCTTCAACGCTTTTGTAACACGCTGTCAGAGAGTCTGATGAGAAATATTTATTTACTCTGTCAGCGCAGCGGGGAAGCTCAACAACTATTTTGTTTTCTATAGCAAAATGAGATTTTAAAAAGCAGACGACATTAGGGAAGCATAAAAAGTATAAAACTTCAGCCAAATCTGTTGCTCATGGAACAAACAACTTATTTACAGAGTAGCAGATTAGCTAGCATTATTCTGCATGGTAGGGATTGATGCTTTCAATTGCGTTAGAATTCTCATATCCTTATATTTTTATTTAGACAAAGCGTCTGCTGTAAAATCTAATATTCCGACAATGTTTTTCATCTCACTTCAAAAATGGGTTTTACAATAAATCACTGCAACATGACCAACCATGACTAAAAATAGATAAAAGTTATCAATAGAAAGTAAACTCAGGTTTCGGTTTACAGCATCTTTATAAAAAATAGTAAGAGCGCTAAAGGTATTTGGAACTCATTGATGTGCCCTGTTTCTGTCGATTTTCATCTAGCTATACATTAATGCCACTAGAAAATGGCTAAATAAATGTAGAAATATTCTGTATGAGTTCCGTTTTGTCCCACAACGGGGAAATTTCTGTGTAACAGCAGCAAAGTGAAGGGCAGTAACACCGAAAAGACTCACACAGTACCAGAATATAAAACGTGTATAAAAACAGAATGAAGAATAAAAATACTGTACAGTGCACTGTGGGCAAAATTTCAACATAAATCCCATGTGGCAGATTCAGTTTCTGCAAGAGTCACAACTTCACTTCAAGTGAGGTGACAGACGGATAAAACGATGCCACGGAGAAACTACAGGAAGAGAAGCCATGAAATAATTAAACACATATTTAATTATACGCATTGGCTATTATTAGTTTGCTTTTTAATCGTTTAGTGAAATATGTAATAAATTCATTGTCTGTTAAATTATTTTAACATTTAATTAAACATTCATTTATTTCATGAAACATTTAATTAATGACTGAATGGTGTATTTATTTAATTAATTGTGACCCTTTTGACCGCCCGTGCTCTTTTGAAAGCCATAAGCAGGTCAAGGTAGGTCATTACGCAAGAGTCTTCATTCTATAAAACAGAACATATGTCTCGTATAAAGAGACTTTACCAGATTAGCTGGTAAATTTAGTTTGTAAAATGAGTTCTGTTAAGTTTTCCAAAGGAACAGTACAGCTTTTCAGACGTTCCAGGTGACCATCCAAGACCCGGGTAGAGGTGGGGAGAGAGGGGCTCACCTTTAAGTTGTGTCAATTTTTGTGGTGAAGTTGAAAATAATTTAAATATTCATTTTTCCGGTACATTTAAAACACTGAAAACACATTAATAGTCTATCTGGTTCATTTTAAGGAGTAACTTTCTTTTGAATGTTGAAATTAGGGCAAGGATGGAAACACTGGAACGTCATGTACTAATTAATTATTCCTAACCTTAGTCTGCACTCATGTGTCACTAAGGGCTTGTGGACAACCTGTACCCAGAGCCTGCATTCATAATAACCTGCCACTCAACTCATTTACAAGTTTAGCACTCTATTATTATTATTATGTTTTTAAGTATTTGCATTATTTCTCGAGTGTGAAACAATACTCGGTTTTCCTCTTTGTCAAAAAATGTCCAAGTTTAAAGCTATTAAAGTCTCACCCAATGGGAAAACTCCAGGCCTGGATGGTATTCCTAATGAGTTTTATAAAAAAAATTTCATCTGAACTGAACACAGAAATATTGAAAACTTTTAACTCAGCTATTGACTCACATCGATTCCCCACATCTATGAAGGAATCATTAATTACTGTTATCCCAAAAAAAGGGAAAAACCCTCTAGAATGTTCAAGCTACAGGCCGATAAGCTTATTATGTTGTGATGCAAAATTATTCACAAAAATATTATCAATGCGGATTAACAATGTTATAAAATCAATTATACACCCTGACCAAACAGGCTTTGTCAAGGGCAGAACCTCCACTGATAGCCTAAGGCGATTACTACATCTTATTTGGAAGGCCCAACAGTTAAGTGTTCCAGTAGCGGCCCCGTCATTGGACGCGGAAAAGGCGTTTGACAGGGTCAGCTGGAATTATCTCTACTAGACACTTACAAAATTTGGGTTTAGACAATCTTTTCGAGAAATAATAAAAATGATATACTCGGATTCAAAAGCAACGGTAACAACCAACGGATTGAGATCAACTCAATTCTTAATTGAACGCGGGACCAAACAGGGAGACCCCTTGTCACCCCTGCTCGTTATTATAGCACTCGAACTGTTAGCCCAAGCCATTAGACAAAATGAAGCAATAAAAGGTATAACAATGGGCGGACTAGAGAACAAAATGTTGATTTTTGCAGACGATGTACTGCTTCTACTGTCGAACCCTGAGGAATCTCTACCTCCTTTACTTGATTTGATCAATAATTACTCTGAATTATCCGGATACAAGATCAACTGGTCTAAATGTGAAGTAATGCCTCTATCAAAGTTTTGTTATAAAAGCCACATACAAAAGTGGAATTTTCAGTGGGTACCAAAAAAACTTAAGTACCTAGGCGTACTGCTGAACCCAGGCCTAGAAAATATTATTCTAGATAACTTTGAACCGGTCATAAATAAGATAAACTTGCTTTTAAAAGGGTGGGACAAACTGCAAATATCGTTGTGGGGTAGAGTTCAGGCCATTAAAATGATCATTACACCAAAATTAAATTACCTTTTTGCTTTACTCCCGCTCAAAATACAGTATTCTATATTTAAGACCTTGGACAAAATGATAAACAACTTTATTTGGGAGGGGAAAAAGCCTAAAATGTCTGCCATAAAACTCCAATCTAAAATTGAACATGGAGGATTACGACTACCTAATATGCAACTTTATCAGGAAGCTTTTTTAAGTGCACAAATAACATCACTTATGTTAAAGAAGCATGATAGTCCTATCTGGGTAAACTTGGAAGGTGAAGTAATTGCTCCATTCAAACCTTTTTATTATCTATCACAGCATTCAAAAGATGGAGTTAAATCCAATCCAATTATGATCCACACTAAAAACGTTTGGCAGCATTTACATAAAAAAGTAAATGCTTGTCCCTTCATTCAAGGAAATGCCTCAGTGTGGAATAACCCCAAAATAAAAATAGAGGGGAAATCGATCTTTTGGAGGAGCTGGCATACAAAAGGGATTGATAGTATCAACTGCTTCTTCCAAAATGATGACCTTACTGTCATTTCAACAACTTCAAGAATTATACAATCTACACCATAATGATTTTTGGAAGTTCCTACAAATAAGGGACCGCCTCACAAAATTAAAGAAACTGGAGGGTAATATACCCATGGAATCACCAATATACAATATGTTAAATAAACTGAAAAATTTCCCAAGATGAGTAAGTCACATTTATAACTTCCTGATTGAGAAAAATGGCAACATTAATACAGGACTTGAGAAAGTATGGGAATCAGAACTAAACAAAAAGTTCACAGAGGAGCAGTGGGGTACAATTGTCAAACAAATGTTGAATCCCATGAGAGATGCGCGCTCCAAATTGATACAGTTCAAAATTCTGAATCGTTTGTATTGGACACCAGTCAAACTATTTAGAGCTAAGATAAGTAACTCTGATATTTGCTGGCGATGTAAACAAACTCCAGGAAACTTACTTCATATGTTCATCACGTGCCCGATTCTAACTTCTTATTGGCAGAAGGTTATGGGAAAAATCAACAGCATCCTTAATTCAAACTTACTCCTGACACCAACTTTGGGACTCCTTAATTATTTAGATTACAAGGTTCAAATACAAACTGAAAAAACACAATGGTTAAAAATAGCACTCACCACAGCAAGACGAGTCATATTAAGACACTGGAAAGGCCAAAATATCCCTACCTATACAGAATGGTATACAGCACTTTCAGAGACCGCCTCTTATGAAAGACTCATTCACAAAATAAATGGCCAGTTTGAGGCATATCAGAGTATATGGGAATCATTCTTAAAACTAGAGAGGAGAGATTCAAATAACAAGGGTCCAAAATAAATAGATACAATGTGTGTGTACATTTTATTTTATTTATTTATTTATTTATTTATTTTCCCCTTTGCTTTAGCTCTGACTGGTTGAGAGGGGGAGTATGGGAGGATTGGGAGGGGTTTAGGGGAGAAAATGTTAAAAGCTAAGTCCTTCTCTGTATAATTACCTAATGTTGTATTCTTTACTGTGCTGATATTATCAATATTGATATCACTGTACGTTTCATTGTTGAAAGATTTAATAAACATTGAAAAATGAAAAAAAAAAGTCCAAGTTGCTCCTTTCCTTCTTATGCATGAACACGTCGAATCGACACCTGCTCAGCAGTCGTTTAAATCTGTTTATGTTTCTGTGCCATATAAATGTTTACTCACAACATTTAGCACCTTTTTAGACCCTTTTAGCAACTTTTTTTTTTTAAGGAAGCACCTGGGAAGAAGCAGCTAGCAACCTTGCATTACTCATTCCTGCAGGCTTAATTAAGAGCTTGGGCTGATGCATTACCATAATTATGAGAATATGGGAGCAGAAGAGGAAGCAACAGAGACGGCATGTCAACTGGCAAACATTCAAATATGGCTGACACGAGACGCATAAAGGCTTTTTGTTGCTTTTTTTTATGTAGCTATAAATACAGCAGAGAAGCTACTTTGATGGAGATAAAAACTTAGAGGTGATACTATGGTGATGGTGGCCTAGAAGGGTCAACAAAATGCAAAAGCAATAACGTAACAAAGTGACAATACAACCACAAAAGCTAAAGAACAGCAAAAAACCGAAACACAGCAGCAAAAAGCCACAACAACAAAAGTAACGACGCAAAAATCACAGTCACAATGTAAAGGCAAAAGGCTACAACAGAAGTGATAGCAAAACGGAAGTTTAGCTAACCTTGCTAGCATAGCTTCAGTTTTAGAATAAATTCCAGTGTGGTTCTCATATCTTTTGTTGTTGAGTTGTGATGTTTGTCGTCAAATTGTGGCTTTTGTTATTGCGCTTTTTTCATTACATTGACTCTTCTGGAACACTCCATAATACATGTGAAAAACAGCAAAGTAGCAATATTACCAACGCAAGTGCTTATTACAAAAACAACAGTTTCAACCTGAGAGACATACGCGCCAACTTTGACCGTGTTGGTATGAGTCCAAAAAGTGGCAATGACAAAACAGCTTTGTGCAATATACCAAATATACATACAAGTCATTTTTACGAAATGACTTTCCAGTCACACGCTGATCGCTGAATCACTAATTAGCTGATGAAACAGGCAAAGAATGAAAACAATGTGGGGTGTATTTGGAAGGGCGCCTGGTGATGTTTTATGCTCATCCTTTTATCTGAACAAGACTCCTTGACAAATTGCCTGAGGCTCTATCTATTGGTAAGTCCCTTTTCTGAATATTTAAATGAGAACAGCAGCAGTTTAAAAAAAAGTGCCTGCTTATAAAGATGGCTCTACATGTTGCTTCCCTCAAGTCAATTTGAAAGACAGAAGGATAAATCGGAATTTGCTTAAATTTCCCACCCATATGTAAAAAAAGACAGAACTCTGCTGATAAAATCTACACATGCACAGGATCGTTTTTTTTCTTCTTTCCTTTATTTTGTTACCTGATCAATATTCCACATGACATTTAAAAGTAATTGTTAAAATTATTAACTTGCAGAGTTTAAAGACTAGACAACAAACAGAACCCGAGAACTTAAATGAGATTTTCTCCACTGATGTATTGGAAAGCCTTTAGCTAAATGCTAACCTTTCCCTCTGGAGGCTTGTCAGTGATAAATGCAGAGACATGAATCAGCCCATATGGCAGGCAGAGAGATAGAAGCATTGAGCGGCAGAGATAACTGCTTCCCAGTATTAGATTATAGAAGAGTAGATAACATTTTGGCTTCTCTCTGTTCACAAATTGAGGCCAAAAAAAAGGCTTTGACTTATAATATTACTATTTTTTTTTAGAGGAAACAGCTCATCAAGATTTACACGAGGTCTTAACGAGGTCTCGTGATGAAATATGAAAGACATTAAATGAATGATTGTGTGTTTTTTTTAGTTTTTCCTTCTTCCCCTGTCGGCGCCATGTTTTGTGCATTTTCCAGATAAACTGGGACTCATCAAACGGTGGATAAAGCAGAGAGAGGAAATTTCAATCTGCTTCAAAACACAAACATGCTTTTCTTTTTCTTTTTTTAAACTTTCGCCAAGTCATTTTAATTTCCAAATCCTGGCATGTAGTATAAAATAAACACTGTGAGCTGACAATGAAAGCTAAGTTCAATATGACAGTAAGCAGAACATATTGGTTCCAAACTGACAAACATTTAACTCCACAAAACTGAACTCCTTCCAGCCGCAAACAGGCTTGATTTTGTGTGACGTTATTTTGCGACAACATAGGGAAACACTTCACATGATGTCGCTAGTCTGTGGCTAAATCACAAAGTGTCAAGATTTCCCCAGAGGCTGATCTGTAGTGATCTATTACACCGTAGAGCCAAAAGTCAAGAAAAGGACTAATCTGGAATAATGTATTATCGGACCTAATGCATCATTCAGATCATCAGACAGCAACGTAGGAGAAAACTCGCAGAAGAACAATCACAGTTTAGTATTATGTAAAATCAACGTTTTTGAGCTTTACTTTATGTTATAAAGTTATTCCCTCATCAAAAACATTCCTGGAGTGATTCTATGATTCTTTCAGTCATGTTTGAGAAATCCTTTATTCTCCATTTATGGCAAACATTCAGCTGTGCAATACACCTTGGTGGGCCTAGCTCCGCCTTCGAAGACGGAGCTCCACCTCAGAGCTGCATTTTCCAAGCTTCCACCTCACAGAGAGGCCCTCCGTCTCCCCCACTCAGCTCCTTCAGACTAGCCAGAAGCAATTAGCAAACATCTGGCGAAGAGAAGTGATGTTGTGATGGTTTTCTGAAGGCGGAGTTTCAGAAAGAGCAGTTTTTAAAGTGAGGGAGGCCCAAATTAAATTACAAAGTCAAATTTCTTTCAAGTCATATGTGATATGTACAATATTTTTTTTTTACAATAACTGAAGGCAACAATGTTACTTGATTAGTTTGGGCCTCCATATGATATAGTTTTCTTGATTTCCTGCATTCAAACAAAAAAGAATCGTCTTTAATAGCTGTTTTGCATTACTATGGGTGATGAGATTAATCAGTAGTAGTGCTAAGCTAAAAGTTCATCGTGGCAGCTTTTACTACTCTCTGTGTGCATGCAGTGATTCCGGAGTTGCTCAGAGTTTTCTAGTTGGAATTACAACTTTTTGGAGCGTTCTTGTTGTTTATTTCCAACTGGGAATGAGGAGAATCTGGGGTTCCGAATTCAAAGAAAACACACCATATGGCTACCAAACTTTCCTCCAAAAGAGATGGACGAGAAGAATCCCTCTGTACAAACTGATCATCTCACTTTAATTTCCATAGCATTTACTTAAAGACAAGGCTGAGCAAAATTAGTTTGACGTGCAACAATACCGCTGAATTTTGCGATAGAAAAACAAATCATAGAAAAAGTGTTTTTGTCTTTTTAGCTTGTATTCATTACAAACACAGACGTCAATCCAGCTAAAAAATATATATATTTTTTTATTAAAAAGCTTGCTAATCATGTGCAATTTAATTTTAGTAAAAGTGCAACACTGTCTTTAAAAAAA